TAAGTTAGAACATATTACTAGTAATTTTTAGCAGTATTATAATTGTTATTACTATTATGAATTTTAGTAATAGACTATGTTTTGTTTGAAATATTTTTACATATTCTTTCTCACTGTTAAGTGATCAGTGATAAAGTTCTGCTCTTTTAGAAGCAGATAGAGGCATTTGAGAGAATAACTTACTCAGTTAGTATATTGGCATATTTTTGTAGTAATTCATAGTTTACAAACAGCCATTGCATCTGCAATTTTGCCTCTTTCCTAAGTGACCTAGAAGGCTCTGTGGCCTGAATTTTTAAAGAGAAGTTCATGGTGGCTTAGAGTCCCTTGCCTAACCCAGACAGGCAACTGATATACAGTAAGTGCTAGAGTTGTTCTTCATTTATTCATTCATTAATTCCCTCAGGACTCTTGATGTGCCAATCTCTCTAATAAATGGTGAGGACCATATACATTTTTTTAAAATGTGGTTTATTGCCTTTAAGGACACTAGTTTTAGTAGTGACATTCAATGTGAAATCATATTCTAAATATATTGTCTTTATAACAGAAGCATGAAAATGCTTCAGTAGCTCAGAGGAGGGACTGACTGTATATCTGGGGTAGCATAGAGATGACCAACAATGTGAAGCAGGATTACAATGCTCAGAGTGTACCTGATGCTCCACAGAGGGGCACAGGACATCCAAGAACAAGTTCAGAGAGGAAGTCTGCAACTGTTCTAAGGAAGCAAGTTGAAACCAGTTAGCAATATTCCATATCCCCATTGCCATCTTGCAATATGTGGAAAAGGATAATATCACTCTGAGAAAAATCCACTGCCTATTGAACCTAAGACATATTCTTACAATATGTGGGATAATCACATCTTAAAAAAATTTTAATTGCTATTTTAAGTACTTTTTTCTGATCACATTACAATTAAGACCCATTGAACAAAGTGTAAAATTTATTAAAAAAAACAAGTAAAGGAAATTAGAAAACCACAAAATCCTACCATAGATATAAGTGCCTTTCTTTCTATGTGTATCATTTCATACATAAAACTTCTGTAAATGTAATTTACACCCTGTTTTTGTATTAATAATGTAAATAGGAGGTTTTCATATAACATTTATGGAAGTTGACATAATTTAACTATTGTCATATTGTTGAAGCTTATCTTGTTTATAGATTTTTCAAATTATAAATGATACTGCTTCTAAGATTCTTGGGGGGTATTTTTCTCATTATTTTGTTTTATTTACATAGAATATTGCTGGGTCAAAATTGTGCCATTTTTAAACATTTAATACATGTTCTCAAATCTCAAAGCTCCCACCAGCATTGACTTGTCATATATATATATATATATATATATATAT